TTGCTAAGAGCTACCTATCAGAAACCTTTTGGCTAAAGCACTTTTGCAATTTAGCACAAACAATAAAAGACTATCTGCTTTTCGGAAAACTTCAGCCATTAATATAAAAATCACTGTCTTGCAAAGAGCCCAAGATTTTTGCATTTGTTTCCTTGTTTGGTTTTGTCATTTATCAAACTGCAGTGTGGAGGCTAGGTGGCCCAGGGAACAAACTAAGCTGTTTCTGATTAGGAACACTTACCGTGGGACTTTTAGAAAGTAATTGGGAAGCCAGATGCAGCTGACAGTTCAAGCTGCCTGTATCTCTTTCACCTGACCTCAAACTGCTAGCTGTGAAATGAAAGTTCACTATGTCCCCATCCTCTCTCCAGGTCAAGGACTCTACTCTTCACAGGTTAATCAAAAGAGGAAGTTACCCTTGGGGAAGGAGAATTAAACCTCTTTTTCTCATGCTGCTATGGAAATCTCAGTGCATCAGAATGGATTGACCTGGGAATCTTGACTGGAATAAAGCAGTAATAAAATTTGTAGGGGCAGTATTCTGTAAAGCAGCAAAAATATACCAAATCTGTAGAGTGAATATTTGGCACATACTGGCTATCCTGGCTAATACTCATGGTGTAAGGCTCAGTAACGTCTTTATGAAGATTGATTTCAAATTTAATTTCCTTATAGGTGAAAAGTGCTTTTTGAAATTGCTGCTGGAGGGGCAAACATGCTCTGGGCCTGAAAGATGGGACCCACACATGCCTTACTTTTTTCCACAGCATGAGGTTAAAGCAGGGACCCCTAACAAATGAATGCATGCTCATGTTACAAATCTAAACAGTAGCCAAACATTGCTAGAAGTAAAATGGAAAATCAGTTTTGAATGGATGTAAAGAAAAAAAATTAGCAGATTTCTGGACAACACCATGCATTTGTTGTGCTAGGGAGTACTTGATATATGAATTTCAGTTCAAGAAGGACTGGCAGGATGCATAACACTTCTTGTTAATCCTTGGTGCTTTCTGGGACATGAAGACCTTAATCCTGAAAGCTGTTTTAGGTAGATGTACCTCTGGATCTGTCTCAAACTGTTTGCAGCACTGAGGCCTATCACTGGGGCATAGCTTTGTCACAGCCTCCACCTGGCCAAAGAAGCCTCAAGATAAAACTAGGTGAGGTGTTTACTGAACTTTTCAAGAGAAACTCCAGATCTGCATTAATAAAAAAATAGCATTTGTCATTTCTTAACCCACTTGAGAAACAAAAATTTGAGCCTGTACCATCAGGTTAAAAAATTCAAAGTGATCCATTTTTTTGTCAGCTCCAGCAGCCACTTGCCTAGCCCCAACCTCAGGCACATTCTGTAAAGCTGAAGAAATGCCACCTGCCAACAAGACTGAAGGCAAAGAACATGTTGCCAAAAAAGACATGCTTCCCCCAAAGCAAAAGATGTCTGCCACCAAGGCTGGATAATTTCTGCTGCCAAAATAGAAGAATCTTCCTTTTAAATACAGGAGAGAAAACTGCTGGGGATGCCAATATGTTTTCCTCTTAAAGTATTCTGTGCTCACTTGTTCTAGCACTACAAGCTGTAATTTTATTATATTTAGTATATAATATTTTTATACAAGCAAACCTGCCAAGATGTGGAAACCACAATGTCATGTTATTAAGTCTCTCAGAATGAGGCTGGTGACTTGCTGCCCCTCCTAAGTCTTTTTCTGTAATTCACCCACATCCTGTACCTTTCAAAAATAGAGAGTAAATAACTTACAGGAGGCCCTCGGGGCCCAATGATGGACATGCCTGCTTCTCCTGGAGCTCCCTGTAAGGAGACAAAGAGAAAGAGAGGCAGAAGAGATTGAGAAAAGGAAGGTTAACAAGGGCAAGAATTGGAAGGTGAGGATGGAAGAAAATGAAAGAAGTAGGGAGAAAGATGTAAGAGAACTCGTAAGAAGGCAAAAGAGGAAAAAAATTAGATCAAGGTCAAATAATGGCAGAGAGTGAATCCATAGAGAGCAGGATACAGAGGTGGTTGAGTGAGATAATAAGGAGAAGGAAGAAATAATTAAAAAAGGAGATTAATACAAAAATGATTCATACTATTTTCTATAAAAACTAGTATTTAAATGTTGATTGTTCAGCTCCCCCTTCCCAACTGGGATAGGAGACCTACTTGGCCTGACCTGTGCATGAAATGTGGCCATTTTGAACACTCCCTCCCTCCTGAAGATGTACTGGTGTCATCTTCAGTGCCTTGAGAGAGAAAGTGAAGACCTCATTTAATGCCTGCAAGCACTCATGCTTTCCTTCTGCCCAGGGAACTCACATTTCTCTCTCCCTCTATAATCACTTCTTCTGGTTCAGCATGAAGCTTCACCTTCTTTTAGTCTGGAAAATGATTAATATAGTGTGCTAAATGCATGAGGTTTTATACAGGAAAATGGAGCTTAGACTGCAAAAAATTATAGATACATGAAATATAAAACACTTTCTTTGAAATAAAGTGCGTAACAGAGATCCTGATCTCTTTTGAACATGAAATGCTTTGTGACACTTTATGTCAGAGCAGAAAGGTGTTTGCCTGAGAGTTCTGGCTCAACTTGAACTTCCACACTTGCATTCTGCTTCCCTAAATTTTCCTTGCCAATTTCTATTGATGATAGTGATCTTCAGTTCCTGTTGCAGTCTATGGCTCTGTGCTCTTCAAACAGCTGTCACATCCCCCTCTCTCCATATGTGTCTATACTTTAGTGGCCCCTATATTCCTAATATATACAGACTTTATGAAGCCAGTAAAGTGCTCTGGGTGTCTTTAGAATGAATGGTACTATGTAAAAGTAAGAAACAAGATCACTAAGTATATGAGTATTCTTCAAAGGTCAGTTAAGCATCTCCACGGGAGAGATTAAAATACTGACTGGATAACACAGCTTTGAACATACCCTAGAGACTATATTCTATAGTACAGAATAGGGAAAGGGTGAGGGAACACATTATAACCCCCTGTTCTTTTTCAGCTCCAGTGGTTATGATTTTCTGAATGGGTCAAATGAGATTTAGTGACCAGGTTGAAATGCAGAAGTTTAGGTCTAATTTAAACTAAATGACTCCAGATGGAAGCAGTTTGATGTACAGTATAGGAAAACAACCCCTGAAATAAATACCTAATAAATGAAATAAACATGTGGAGGGCCGGTAGGGGGTACTCCTGTGCTGAGCCAACCACCTTCCAGGCTCTGAGTGCTTCCCTGGGGGTGCCTCACATCCGGCTGACCCCCTTCCTAGAGCACACCCGCAAGCCTGTGGGTAACATTGCCACCACCCGTGGTCTGAACTGTTTCTGGGCCCTGTGCCCCCTGGGGTACACAGGCCTTGTAATCCTTGAGGATACTTGATCCACTGCAAGAACTTGGGGTGCTTCCCTTAATTTGAAGCACAAATAGTGGTCTCCCTTAGTCACAAATGATTTCTACAATCAGTTAGGTCTGGCATGGAGTCAAAATAAAGGGATTTAATTGTGGATTGTATACAAATTTTAGATATTTAGGGTCATATTATCAAGGAGCCTGAATCCAGATTCAATTTGTATACATGCAGTTTTATATAATTAGATCATTTAAGTGATCAAGCTGTGCACACAAATGACAGATACAACCAGAAATCTTCAGCATCAGAAGTACAGGACTCTACCTTGTGAAGCCAAAGAGTAATGCCACCAGCAGGTAGCAGCAAGAAGCTCTTCTCCTTTATTTGGACAAGCTATCACTGGTCATGACTCTTTGAACCAACATGTTACACACATACAAATACAGTGAATACTATGCATTTAGTAAATACTATGCATTCAGCCCTGTAAAGTCCCAACACAAGTTAGGACTTTACAGGGCTTCTTCAGTTTACCCCAGCTGAAAGAGTCACTAAAGGTCATTTATGCCACCTCAGGGTGACTAGAATGTGGTACACTCTGGCCATATCCCCTTCCTAAGCCCTTGCCCCACTCCCATGAAATGTCATAGTTATATTTTCTCTGGTTATATTTTTTCATAGGCCTAAGCTGCAAAGGCCTAATCCAGACCTGGATAACAACTTTCCCAGAGAAAAGTGAGGTTAACACATGAGTATTACTCTACAGTCTTTGACAGATTAATAATGTTTAAGAGTTTTGACCCCAGGGAAGTTACCTTCTGTTTAAAAGAGTGAACACTGTTAGCTTGGAAACATTCAAATCAGACATGAATACAGAGAGAAGGACCACATGGCTAGAGGAAGAAGGACTTTGTGTTCTGTTTTTCTCTGCTAAAACTAACAGAAGAGTAACTGAGAATTTGGGGAAAATATTTTAGCTACCTCACCTAAAAAGAAAAGAAGAAACAGTTTGGAAATCAAGAGTAAAAATGGGGAACTGGGCAAGGGTGAAACAGCTGCATAATGACATATCACAGGAAGGTAAAGAAGCCTTGTTCAAAGTCATCCATAGAAAGAATTCTTTTTGGATTATGATGAAAAGAGTAAAGCTTTTCTTCAAAAAATAGAAGCCACTGAAGATTTGTTGCACTTCAAAGTGCATGACTGATGACATGCCACTGTGCTTTATAATATAAAATATAAGATTGATACATAGTTTCTGAAACACCCAAAGACTCAACAGGCTATGATTTTTTAAATTTCGTGTACAAAACAAAGTTTGTCTACAGATCATCCATTGTTTGCATGGAACCTTTTTCAGGGCAGCTCATTTAAAGTATTTTTAATATGTTAGCTAATCAGTCATTTTTAGCATCTGAAATCAACCCAAGATGAACACATGCTGGCATAAGGAGATGCTGACTGGCTATCAGGAGATGCCAAACATTAGGGGTGTGGGAAGCAGGCCCTATTCAATTCAGATTCAGATTCGGCCTGAATCAGGGACAGTGATTCGATTTGTTGATTCGGATCACTGTCACTGATTCAATTCAGCTGAATCTGAAGATTCGATGCTGATTCGGAGAATCAACAATTCAGACATAGACATAGCTTTAAAAGTTTTTTCTACATACCTCGAGGTAGCAGGTGTGGCTCATGATCGCTGCAATGCTGGGGTGCATGGAGTGTCCCACAGGAGTGTGGGGGGCCCTCCACATACTTGGTGGTAAGTACTTCCAGTCCACTTCTGGGTCTGCTGGGGAGTGCGGGGGAGCACCCCCTCGCCCCCCCCCCCCCCCCCCCCGCAATTCACTACAGGGGGCCCCTGGGGGCAGCCCCAGGAGACCCCAGTCCCTGATCTGGGGGGAGGGGGGGGGGGTGCCCTGGCGCGCTCCCCAGCGGTCCCAGAAGTGGACCGGAAGTGCTTCTGGTCCACTTCTGGGTCTGCTGCTAAGCACACTGGGAAGTCCCCTGCACTTCTGTGGGACACTCCATGTGCCCCAGCACTGCAGCATTCATGAGCCACCTGTTACCTAGAGGTATGTAGAAAAAACATTTAAAGCTGTCCGAATCTCCAAATCTTTCCTAATCTCTCCAAATTGAGTCAGAGGGTTCCGATTCAATTCAGAGAGATTAAAGGGTCCCCTGATTTGATTTGGATTCAGAGATTCGGCCACCAAATTGGGCCAAATCTCTGCTGAATTGAATCAGGGACCAAAGCTTTGCACAGCCCTACCAAACATGATAAAAGAGGAAGTGACCTGAAGGAGATTAAGTACCAGGTCCTTTGTCCTGTCTTATCTTTCCAATCTATGTTGTTCCACTGTGTTTTTTTCTGTATTACTCTCTCAAAGGGTACATCTACACATGGCCCTATGGCGACATGCTACATCCCCGTATGGTGCGCTATGGCGACATAGTGATCACATTGGTCTACACACGATCGACAGCTACGTCGCCATAGTGGTATGCTTCCCTGTTTAGTGTGCCACTACAGTGACATAGCTGCTGATCATGTGTTTGCTACATGTGATTGCTACATTGGCGTAGCATGCCATATGGTGATGTAGTAGGGAAATCTAACCATGAGCCATGCACATGGTGCACTCTGGGCAGTTAAATGCAACCAAAGAAAACCAAATAGGTGTTCCACTCTCATATTCTTTAAAAGTATTGATCTAAACAATCAGGTAAAATGTATATATTCCTTACTCTCTACTTTTTGTGATAGTGTTAGAGTGATGTAGCCATGATGGTCCAGGAACTATACAAGGCAACAATTTTTGTGAGTGATCTTTTATTAGACCAACATGGTTGAAATAGACCTAGACAAACTTTCAGATGTAGCACATTCCTCTACAGGTCACTGTTTTTCAGTTAGTTAGATACAACCAGAATGAATCCATCCTGCCTCTATTTGCACTTGAGTATGTGAGTAATCAGAACTCTTGGTAGTTCATTATATGCAAATTAGTCTCAGATAAAAGTTGGAGCAGTCTTTTTACCTCTCAGTTGTCTGATGGTAAGCAGGACATTGAATTATGCTTCTTTCTTGTTATGATGTTTCATATTTCACAAAAGGATGGATGAGGGAAGGCTCTCCTGGGCAAGGATTTTTTCTTGTGTTGAGGCTGCTCTGTGAGCATGCAAATTTGGCTCCTTGCCCACGAGAGTCTTCCATCACCCATCAGCCAACTGTGAGGTAAATAGACTGCTCCAACTTTTATTTGAGCCTAATTTGCATAAAATGAACTTTTCCAACCAGGAGATTTTACACCACCTTTCAGCTGTCCTGAAAAATACGAATTTTCATTTCCACCTGGGAGAAATTTTACAGTCTTTGCACTCTCTTATGCCTGAGGAATGACACGTGTGCCTGAAAGCTTGCAAATAAAGATTTTTTTTTTTGCAGCTATCTACTTGGTCTAATAAAAGAAAACACCTCTATCAAGAGTTCTGATTGCTTTGCCTGTAGACCAACATAACTTCAACCTGTATCCTCAAGTGTGTGAAGCAGTACATTTGAAGACATAAATTGCCAATACTGATTTGTTGAATGTTTCATGACGTGGATGGCCACAACATGGCGTATTGGTGGCGTGCAAACTACCAGTTCTACAAGTGACAAAAACCTCATTCATTATTTTTCAAATGGTTTGCATAGCTTTTACCTTTGACCGTGGATAAAGGAAAAACCTCTTGATCATTTTTCTTTAAATAGAAGAGATATGATTGATATAAAACCTTGGTGTGGGAAGTGTCTGATGATAGTCTCCCTCAGTCTTTCCCCTAAGTTTTTCTTCTATGTGCTTCAAATTCTAGAAAGGAACAGTTAAGCCATGGTCTCTGACCAGAGGTGGCTAGGGGAAACCAAATAATTAGGAGCTACTAAGACAGAGCTGGATTTTTTACCACATTTCCAGAACGAACCAAGCACAATGGTCAGCAGTGAAGAAGTTAATGGTGGAAAAATCAGGATAGCCTTAATGGAAATACTGAGAGTCCCCATCCACCACTTGAATCAGAACTTACAATGTTAGTAAATTATAGTAAACAACGAATTGGAGACTGTGTGGGGTGGAAAGAATTCAGGACATAAACTCACATTGTCAGGGAAGATGGGAAAGGGCAATTCAGAGCAATGTATGGTTCAAACACAAAAAGGGCTTTAAAAGCACAGGTCTACCTTTGTCATGATTTGAAGTGAAAGGGTCTCAGATAGCTAAGAGGAGGAGCTGTGAGGGGTCAGGGTATGACATTATGAGCTGGAAAAAGCTGACTCACCTTTTCTCCAGGCTGCCCTTTTAGTCCCTGGGTCAGTTACACCAGCCGCAGCACATGCAAGAGGGTGAAGGGAAGAGAGAGAGAGACAAACACAGGAATTGGCATTAATGGCACATTAAACCCAAAATCTTAACAATGCAACAAGAAACAGGTCACAGACACTGAAACATGCTCTGTTTAAGGTTTGCACACAAGCACAGAGACTTTCACTTCCCCACTTCCCACCACCATCCCCTCCTGCTTGGATACCCCTACAGCATCTGAAGGAAAGGGCAGCTGAAAGAGAAGGCAATTGAGTTTTCAGCCAGTTTGAGGAAACCAATTCTTGGTTTTAGCCATGGTGCTTGGCATTCAGTATGGAGATGGGCAGAGAGTATGTGTTAGCAATAAGCTCACCACAGTTAGCAAGGCTGACCCACAGTTCAGAGACATCAACTCATAAGTCAGCAAGGCAGCAGCAACAGACCTGGCCAAGGAACTTGGAGCAGGTGATATCTGGGATGAGAGTCCCTAAATAGGCTTAACAGTGAGAAGCAATCTGGTAACAGTTGGTCCACACTGACCAAGAGTGAGGAGTTCCTGGCCAGCCCCTATGTGAGTGAGGTAGGAGGATCTCTGAAAAGGGGTAAGAAGATGAATGGAAGCATGCACTGAGAAAAAAAGTACCTGAATACATGAGAAGAATGGGAAGGAGACATATGCTTAAGCAAGGCCTATGGATACTGATGCCACAGATCTCCTCTCTTTCTCTTCTTTCTCCTCTACATGTCTCATAAAGCCCCAATGATGGGGTATTAAATATAGTTTATGTATAAAAGATATGTGGCATGGCTATATGTAATATATGGTGAAAATATGCAAAATACACTCAAATCTTACAGATTGAATGTGTTTAATACATTCAGTCCCACCTGGCCAGTTAACTACAAGCTAACAGGCCCATTTGAGATACAGGGTCTTATTCCATCACCCACCTTTGCACCAAGTAGTAATTTATTACACTTGTGTAAGTTACTGATTTTAGTGGGCCTGCTTACTGAGTAAGGTATTCAGTGTAAAAGCAGTAAAGCTTGGGCTTAAGTGCGCAGAAAGTGCATTGGTTTTAAATAAGGACTGAGCTGATAGTTCTGAAATCTGTGCTCTACGGTGCCAAAAGGCTCATGCTGGATTGCCAGCTCTGTTCCTTCACTTCCATGGTTGAAAACCCAGCTTCCTCTGTCTCTCAGAGGAGATGGCCTCACTGATTTCCAGCAGTCGCTCTGGACTCCTACCAGAGGTTAACAGATTCTACAGGCAGCTTTTACCAGTCCTCCTCTTCTACCAGCTACAAACAACAGGAAAATGAGGAAGGCAATGTGTTTCTATGTCTCTGCCACCTCCCTCTAGATAAGTGCTCCTCCTAAACCATGCTTCCTTCACTGTGTTCTGCTGTGCTGCATTACTGCAAGCAGTTTCTTTCAAAGTGACACCATTATGGTAATACAACACCAAACAAGATGGACAGCATGACCATGTACCATCATTGCGTCAGTCTTCCTAAGTATGGCATCACATGAATACTGAAGTAACCAACTCTCTTTTGTATGGCAGGCTGCATTCCCATTCAGATATTGGGAGGTGGCCTTTGTGGTGGTGCAGAGAGAAAGCTACACAAAGGTATTGCTGAGAGAGTCTGTCCCAAGCATAATAAAGACAATATGAACAGACCTATGTATCTGACTCCCCTGCTTTCCCAAACTTTGGGGGCTTGGACCAAACTGGAACTACCATAGTCCATAAGTAGTTTCCAAAAGCTCAAGCCACCCATAGTTATGTCCTTTCTGACTGAATACATCTCCAAACCTTTTTCTACATTTCCCCCATCACCACTGATGGGAGTTAGTAGCTGATTATGACATTACTTTTTGTAAATTCTTGGCAGATCTGAAGACTCATTAATTCAAGGATAATTACCATTAGTATGTACTAACATTATTTGTTGGTATCTGTATGTAAAAACTAAACTAAAATTTAAAAAGCTTGTACTTGCTAACCAGCCTGTGTAAAAAACACTGTGAGGGAGTCCCTAAGATGTTCTAAACTGGTGCAGCTCCGTTGACTTCAGGAAATTGCACCACAATTTGAAGATCTGTCCCCACATGCTCCTAGAGTAGTATCACTCTTGAGCCTAGCTAATTATGTTACAGCTGCATGTCAAATTGTGCAGGCATCATGCAGAGACTTATCTTCAATCGCACTCACATTATCCAAACAGAGTTGAAGATGGAAAGGATTTGGGGGGAAGATTTGCAGGCGATAGCACAGCCCCCCAGGCTAACTGTGCTTGAGCAATCCAGATAATTACCAGCTAAAAATGGGGATTGGCAAAGAGTTTAAAGCAGCTAGTTATAGTGCTTTCTCTCCATCTCTGAAGTGAAGCATAGTCACATATGGAGAAAAGCATCAGGCTTCAGGTCCTGTCCATGTTTCAGGATAAACATATACTCCTCCACCCAGAAGATGCCAGGTTATTCCCTCAGAAAGATAGGAATATGTATAGGGAGGAATAAAGAGAGTAGCTCCATGAAGACAAAGATTAGGGAAGAGAAGGCAGAGCAGCAGAACGGAGGGATGTCTGAGGTATTGATGCAGTGCTGCACAACACGCATTGCCCAGCTCTTCTTCAAGGTGTGCTACAGATGCCTCTACTGGGACTAGAATGGAGGCTAAGTTAGCATCATAAAGTGAGAGGGCAAGAAAAGGCTAAAAGTATTATTCAATCATGGTAATTTCTTTTTTTGATATCTGTATGATGAATCTGTGCCTCCTCTACTCTCAGCCATGAAGAGGCAAGTACATTGTAGGCAGCATGAAACCACCTAGCCCTTTGCCAGGCAAAGACAGGGGGCAGCAGCCAGCATTCTCTGATAGTAGTCTGAAGCCCCTTCATGATAGTCTGATTTGGATTTGGGTGCTTGGGTTTCTATATGGAAATGTATCCAGTAAGAGACCCTGGAGACTCACCAATGATTTGTCTTCGTTTTCAGGGCGGAGCCTCATTAAATTACAAATGGTAGGACCAGCAGCCTAGCATTTCTGCATCTCTCGTTAAACAGAAGCTAATTTGAGAGGTAGATGACTGAGATGGTGCTCATGGTAGAAGCTGCTGATTTTTTTCCCCTAGTCACACCCAAACCAGGCCCTTGAAATAGAGCAGAAGACTGGGAGGGTTATTTTCCTGAATGAATGAAAGTGTCAGCCCAAATGGCCTGCAGGCAGCCCATATTTGGAAACAAATGTGTCAGTCAGGCAGATGCAAGAGGTTTCAACTCACCCGTCGTCCAGGGATTCCCATGGTGCCTTTGTCTCCCTAACAATTAATGCAAAATCAGATGGCAATTGGAAAATGGCCATAAGTGAAGCTAGAAAATGATGCAAATTAACTGATTTGTGTGTGCACCTTTGTTTAAGAATTGTGTGTGTGTTTTACGGCATATAGACAAACAAAACTCTTGGGTTAGAGGCGGTATCTTTTATTAGATTTTAGGGCATACACATTTGTTTAGCTTTATGTATATGTACATATGTAGGTGCTTGTGCATGCATGCGTGCGTGCGTGCATGCGTGTGTGTGTGTGTGTGTAAAACATGCTTGTGTGTTTGTATATATGCCTGCTTATTTGGGTACATCTGAAAACATGGGTATATGACTATGTATGTAAGCCATCAATTTGCTTGTTATTCTCACTGAATAAGGAACCAATAAAACTCAGGACAACATAGACAGGAAAGGAAAGATAAGAGTTTGTGATCTAATGGAAGAACCTAATCACAATTTTCAACCCTTCCTGAAATCCAGATTGGGGGAAGTTGATCCCTTCAATAGCAAATGATTTTTTTTCTTTCTAATTAAAGGTGATCACAGGTTATTTCTTTCTAAAGCTATTATCAATTTAAATCATAACTCTCAAAGCTGATGAACAGATCAATATTATCCAGTAATCCAGAAAAAGGAAAATTATATTAAAAGTTATAATAATGTGGAAAATGGGACAAGACCCAGCTGACACTACATATAATGCCTATGTTCTGTGTCCCTTAACCCCTAAAGAATATTTCTCAGAGAATCTGGAAGGTGTAAAAAATCCTTACATGATGTTGCATGTAAGTCTGCCTAAAGAGGTACAAGATAACACTTGAACTGAATTGCAAAAGATATGGACACCACACCATCAGTCTTTTATACATAGATTGCAGTTCTGCGGCTTAAAGTATATTTAAATTTGAACCATGTCATTAAAAAACCTCTATGTTCTTGGCCCCAAAAAGCATGTACTAGGCATACTTGGAAAATCCTGAATGATGATGTGTTTGGTGGCTGTGCAGATTTCATGGTGTTTTGCAAAATTACATTGTAACAGTCCCTCAGTACTGTGTCCAATCATCAGTTTAGATTTGTTGGAAACACTTCACTATATAAAACTTACTGTTGCTGCCTACGCCTTCTCTTTTACTTATTTATCCCTAAAACCTGTTTTCTGCCAACAACTGATGTCTGCAGCACTTCACAGGCAATACTGGAAAATACTTCAAGCCTAAGGGGACAATCAAGACTATCTCTGCCACTTGCCTGGGACTCTGCATGTCCTTTGTCAGTTGTTTGATCATGGCAGGGAGCCTGAATGTCAGTGCTCTCTTGTCTGTTAGTGTGCCGTGTGAGGGATAGACCTATGCTGATTACATAGGTAACTCTTTGCCAAGGAAAGTAAATTTCAACATGCATAACTATGTACAGAAATTCCATTTGTTTTCCACTCAGCAGCATCTGTAATCAACTGGAAATACAGAACTATACTGTTGGTCATTCTTGTATTGTGGCCTACCCATTCTATCTGCCAGTGATGGAACTGCAAAAAACAGTGTACAGAGAGGGCAAAATGGAAAAGTCTGTCTTGAAGTTGGGAGAAGGGATAAATTATTTTTTGTCATTCAGTGCTTTGCAGACACTGGTTCTCAGTGACATCTTCTCTCCATACCCGGTGTACGCAAGTAACACTTGAGACTAATGTTCTAAATGCACCTCACCATATGCTGGATTTAACTGGGGTAAAAGCTGTATTTGCACTCTCTACTTATAGGAAAGTATTGTTCCCTAATCAGTGGACTTTTATTTAATGTGCAAGGCACACTGTGATAAATTAGATCACATTAATGTCTTTACTGAGATAGTTGAAGTGTTGAATAACAACACATTATACAGTAATTTGGTATAATTTACACAAGCAGTATCTGACTACAAATTGAGAGGAGACACGCAATATCTGCTCTATATTCGAGTTTTTATTCTGTACCCACCAGCATGGCATCTGATTTATCAGATGCCTGTCTATACCTGCATCTAAGTTCTGTATATGTGTTATAGAGAACAATGGAATTCCTTCTGAAAGAACAAACCATTCCATTGCCTTGCTCTTTGATTTTATTGGCTTCTGGTTGGGAATGCATTGATGAGTTTTCTTACATTTTTATTTTTTCTTTCTTTTTTTTAGTTTCTTATTTTCCTCTAGAGCTGATCTTAACAGCAAATTATAAAGATGCCAAGCACAGAACTCTAGTGATGTGATGTTTCAGTCTTTGGTTCCATTGTTAGGAAAAGCTTCCTGTAAGTATGATAAGTGGTATTTGACCACACAATGATTGATACTGCACAGGATTGATCTGTGTCTAATGTTGTTGCCCGCGACATTAGTACTTGATGCCAAAGTGGTGTATGAGAGCACCATGCTTGGTATGTTACTACACAGTATTTTGGCCCTCTAAACAATATTAGTAGGGGGGAAATGGTCTTAGTAGTATAGCACATAAATGCCAGAAGTTTGAGGAAAAAGTAGTCTATTATGTGATGCTGGGAAATAACACTCAGCTATGAATAATACTTGCGTCCTGCACTGTATGTTAACACTGTATTTATACCGCTGCTATCTGAGTGACTGCTGTATTTCCAAGATGCCTATAACCTTAGTGGCAAAGCACCAAATAAGAATTATGATGAAGCCCTGGGTTTTCTTGAAAGTTGGTGTATTCTTCCCTTCCCTCAGTGGCTGGAGAGCATGTGGATTATTGTTTTCTTTTTGTGGAAATCATGGCTGAGGAGACATTTTGTATAAAGGCAAGTTCATTTAGATCTGATCACAGACAGAATGTGGCTTATCTGGCTTTCTCTGACAAGGAATCCCATGCCCAGGCCTTGCTTCAGATGCGCCCCCGCCAACCCCTCCAGCCTGAAAGATTTGGTCCTTCCAAGCTACATGAGCCCTGTTGTCTCGGAGAGGCCTAGGGAGTGAGGACACCCTGAACTATCTAAACCCAGTCCATAATAGCTTGGAGAAACTACAGTGAAGATATGGATTTGGTCCAGAGATGAAGGAGGAAACCAAAACCGTCCCAGAACCCGCTTCACGTCTTACTACTCATTAAGTGGGACACCTTATGCTTTATGTGACAGCTAATTCATCTCCAAGTAGAGTGAGTTAGCAGTGGTCTAACCTGAGAAGAATGAACACCTGGATCAAGTAGCTAAAATTCCGTCTAAGAGGAAGGGGCACAGTGCCCCTGCCAAACATGGAAAAAAGAGAATTCCATGCCACTGTGGCACTCAGTATGTCTGAGAATACTGGGGAGTCGATTATGATGGCTTTGCACTTCTTTGATGGTTTGTGTGTTGCTACCCTCAGATGATGATGAAACTAGAGTATGGGCCAGTCTGTCAGACCATTTTTCTCTTCCAGCTGATATCTTTTCTGCTTCTCATTGGTTGTGTTTTAGACAGCTACACTTCAGCACCTGTTGATCCCTCCCAAGTATCTGAGCTCTCATTTCAGAATACATGTTGACCCTAGAGTCTACATTCCTTATGGTTTATTCATGATTTATCTCAGCCACTGACCATCATTAGTACCTGATTTTGATTTAGTTAGATATGGATTTACATATCCCTTAGAAATTGGCAGATTACAAAAACCCGGATTTCCAAGTTTACATCCTGGCTTTTGCTCCAGAGGGAGTGAGGTGAAGCCATGGCATTTAATGAGAGGCTCCATTCTGCTGCTACAGGTGAACAAAGGGGAGTTGGAGACTGGACAATACCCTAAACGCATGGCCATCCTCCCTTGGGAAGGAAGAGCACCACTTAGGCACATTATCTAGTCTGCCTGCTTTTTATACTCAATAGTGTGCTGGGTCACCATTCTCTTTGGTTTCCATGCACCTATGCAGAGAGATGGAGGAGGGGAGAAGAAACCCCCATGGTTATTTCCGTGTCCAGCACACAGGCCAAAGGTGATTAGGGTAGCTCTCAGGATATATCTACATAGCACAATGCTGAGTAAATTTGCCCTTACATGGCTACATTGCTTCTGAAACCTGAGCTAGCTGTGTGGGGCTACCTCAAGTATCTGTACAGTACTGTCTCTTGTCAGGAAGATATACTCTCAGCCTAACACAGAAGCCAAGTAGAGAATGAAAGAAAATTCCTCTTTTTAAGAAAATTTTGCATGAAGAAACAGAAGCAGCTAAATGACCTGCTATGAGATGACCCTATTGCAGCCTTGTAATGGGATGGCTTGCTCTATTTAAGGTCCACATATTAACAGGTCCTTGCCTAGCTTTGTGCTCCCATATCACACCTACTTCCTATCTCATCTTTTTAAATCATGTATGTGCTCCTCTCATCCCTCCATGGTTAAAATGAACAATCCATATACTGAAAAATTCCTCATGGTATTGGCTCTAAATATAACCTCCAGTCCTTCCTGAACACAGCCATATAACCTCCTTTTAGTGAGCAGATAATATAAATAGGTTTCTTAGACAGACAGGGATCTCTTATTTAAAAGGTAATCTTAAAGAAGGTATATGTTTCCTAAACCCAAAAGGAACCTGTAAGGAATGTACTTCGTAGAACTTTGTTCTGCAAAGATCTTTTTATTCTTACTGGAAACAGTATTGGGAGCCATATCCCTTTCACAACCTGCTCTCCTAGTCTACCAATGAAGACTTCTACCTTCACCCAGTTTATACAGCTTTGAGGCTTCTCTTCAATATACTGTCAGGTAAAAAGGGAAGGAGAGAGAGAGAGAAAGTAAGAACAAATAAGGAAAGGAAGAGGTAAAGGAAAAATATTTACCGGAAGCCCTGGTCTTCCTGTAGGGCCCTGAAAGCACAAAAAAGAGCATGTAATACAGGAAGCAGGGAAAAGGGTAAACCAGAGAAGAAATTGTATGTCTAATTACATGATTAGAAAATAGAGCAGTTCACATGCAACACGCGAACAGCTTTCTAAGTAGGCAGATAGGATTGCTTTTTTCATTTATCTCAACCACTTTTTTAAAGCTTCATATCTATTTGGTTTGTGTCCATCACAGTGACCCCCAAACTGGACTCTGGAGACACTTGATATTCCATGAAAACCTAGCCACATAACATTATGCTCTGTTTTATTCTGCTAAATATTAATTATTCAGGTATACAAGTGCTTTAGCTGCCACAAAAATACTGTATGTGAAGAAAGGGAAGATGTCCCTGAGACACTCTTTATTAAGATGTGGTCCACACTACAAAGAAGTTTGAGAAGTTCTGAAGCATCACTTCATTTTGTAATGCTGAAACTTTCTTCTCAATCCTGAGATCTTGGGCTCACAGGGTTGCTGGGTTCCAAATTTCCCTGCTTACATCAAAACAGAATCTTCCAAATCTGTTATATACTAGGATGACTCCATCTATGTGTGATTTAAGATACTTCCATTTTTCAGATATTATGTGCTCAAGACGGTGGAAAGCTAAAAAATGTCTTCACTTAACTGTTTCTCACATTTGGAATGCAACCATGCACATCCGTTACTCTCATATAGGAGGCATAATTCTGTGCAAACTAGCTCCTCAATTGACTCTAACTGGGTATAGGGTAAGAGCTGCTCCCACTGAATACAGGATATAAAATTATAGTTTATCAGCATTTTAAACCACTACCTCGGGTGACATATATGACACCAGCAGTTCAGAAACCACTGCCATAGACATGAACTAGTTTCTAGGCCTGTGAGAAGCAGCTAGTATTCGCTTTGGATTTGGATTCAGACAATTTGGGGGACAGTGATTTGATTTGGTGATTCAAATCCCTGACCCGAATCGATTTGGCTGAATCTGATTCAGAGATTCAGCTGCTGCTGAATCAGCCAAATCTCCAAATCACACAGGCCCCATCCCCCACCCACTCTCCCAGTCCTGGCAATGGCTGCCGTGCCCGCCCCAGCTCTTTGAAAAACAAAGCTACCACTCACCAGCTGTTGCCACATGGGGAGGGGGGTGTGATCCCTACTGCCTCCTGTTGCCCCATGCCATGTGGGGGGCTCTGCCATGAGTCCCCAGAAGCCCCAAGGCCACTGCAGGAGCCAGTGAGTCCAGCGGGGGGGGGGGCGTTCCTTTCATTAAAGCGCCGGGGGCT